TGCGAAAAATTTTTAATGGAAAATTTTGTCTGCGCGAAAGAAATCCTCGTCCCACTGGGGCTTTGCGGTGGGGTGATTTAGATTATGTAGTTTTTGTTATATATGTAAGCTTTTTGATTTTTAATGCGGTAGGTACCTACTATTGTCCTGTGCAAACTACGCAAATAACATTTTCAAGCAGAATTTAAATTTTATATTAAATTTAAATTCTTGTGAATTTGGTACCTCGTCTTCAAATACTAGGCTACTTATATACTCGGACACACAGTCCACCTGATGTTAAGTGGACGCTGCGCTGTGGTCCATAGATATCTACATTTATCCTCGATTAAGAATCTAAATACAGATGCGTTGTCACAACTGAGGACTAAGATGGAATGCCTCGTTTCACGTTACCAGGGATATCCGGTTCTCTACACTCACCATACGAAACACAGCAGCATTGAGCTGATATTTTACGCAGGTATTCTGTGAGAACGAGGCCCCACACTGAGCCGACCCATTCGTGCTATTACCATAATATAGCTGCATCGGTTATACAATGTATAAAAGTTCTTAGGATGTTCTGTGTATGTTTTATTTCAAAAGCCCTAATAGTACATAAATGCGATCGGATAGTCAGACTGATAATCTTTTTAAAACTCATGGAAGTATTAATGTATTTGAAGTAATAATGTATGTACTTGAGAATGCATATTTTTCTATTTAACGTGGTACGTTATACATGGTAGAGCCAGTATGTAGCTATATTATGGTTGTGGCACGAATGGGTCGGCTCGACCGGGGTAAGACCGCGCGCTCACATAATACCAGCGTAAAATAGCAACTTAATGCTGCTATGTTTCGTGTAATGTGTGTAAAGAACCGGATACCCTTTTTACTGGAAATGATGCATTTGATCTTAGTCCTCAGTGGTGACAAACGCATCTGCATTTTGATTTTTATTTGAGGATAAATATGTAAAGAGAATTTGTCTATGAGTCACAGCATCCACTTACCATCGGGTGGACTGTGTGCTCGCTTGTCACCCTTTTTCTATAAAATGATAATAATAATAAAATTTAATTTAATTTCTTGTGGTAGGGTTAGAGAACCGTTTCGTTTCCGTGTCTATCTTCCTTCTGGCTTCAGATAGCTGTCAGTTTATCATATCCAAAATGTCTGATGTAAAATACACGGACCAGCACAAAGAGCAGTGTCGAAAATGCAAGACATCTGGTATAACAATCTGCCAATCGACGTACGTGGTCAAATCCATTTTATAAACAGAAGATGCCAAAAAAACATCACGGAAACAAGGAACTAAAAACGTAGTCAAAATATACTGTAGGTACACAAAATGAGCTGATTCCTTACATTTATTGCGCTGCCTATTCCACAATTAAATAAATAGAATGCGGAACAAGAAAATGCCTTTACAATCTAAGGTTTTTTGTCCCATTGTCATGCAAACTCGTCGAAATAATTGGCGGGAAAACAAAAACACCCATCGATTCGAGTTTTTCCATTGGGCCCGTCCTATTTATACGAAGTTCTGTGAATTCGGACGGAATAACGTTGTTTCTATATTGAATTGGCAAACGTTATTTTTCCTCTAAAAGCTTTCTCTTTCATTTGCAAATTAAAATAAAGTTATATTTGTTACAACAAGTTTCCAATTTAATTCTTTTTCAATTTTGTCATTAAGAGATTTATACAACATGTAATGTAACAAAAACCCTGTGGTTCCCGTTAAGTACCTACGTTATCAGGATCAGTATTGAAACCTATACAAATAACTTTTTTTTAAAAACTCGACCATATATTTTTTAATTTTTTTTTTAATTTTATGTGGTTTTATTACCTCTTACTGACACTAGCCGATGCTAAAGCTAAGTAAAGCGGGGTCTTTGACAATCCTCTTACTCCCCAGACAATGCAAAGGTAATAAAACGACATACAATTTGCATACAATTATTTTTTTAAATAAAATAAAAAATATGTTGTTCGAGTTTTAAAAAAAAATATTTTTATACGTTTGAATAATGATCCTGATAAGTATATAAAGTGCCCGTGGGTAGCGAGAATTTATTACAAAATAAAAAAGATAATAAATTTCGGATAAATATAGAAACATTAGTAGTGGATGGATATGGAAATAATTTGTCGTTTGTGTTAAAAAAAACTTCTAAAGTAAATATCGACCAACACTAATTGGGTTGTTGGTCGACCCTCCTATGTTCTAAAACCCTCTCAGAAGTTAAAGGCTAATACTATACCGTGGCCTATGTTGGGTATGTTTGCCGTTACCTTAAACTGCAGCACTTAATAAAGATATGCAAAATTGCAAGATTTGTCTACGCTGGGCAGACTAGAGACAAGAGACACAGGCCTAGAGACGAGAAAGGCAGATACTCCCTCCCGCATACCTTTCTCAATTTGGAAAAGACATTTCGATTATAGGAGGCCTGTACACTACCGTGGGACGTATTCTAATCGTAGTTCGTCCTTTGCATAAACTACAGCAAGTAGTAAATGTGAAATTTTTCATTAATAGATTTGTCCTAGCTGGACAGGCGTGGAAAAGGGAACAGCAACGACACTCATGTATCGACTCTAGAAGCTTAGGCCACAAAATAACGCAGTTATATACAGACACATACACATCAATATACGTAAAAAAGCAATATACGTAAAATATATAAAAGCATCAAAACATATTATCTTTTTTAAATCGTAGGGTAGCCAATACTTGCTTTTCATCGGAGGGCGGTACAAAGATGTTGCTAGTAATTGTATGTACAGGTATATAATTATGGAAATTGTATTTCTAGTAGGTAAAATGAAAATGAGTTTGCCGTATTAAGTCCAATATCAAAAAAAAAACTTTTCTTATAAATTAATTATAACATGTCAATTAGTTTGTTGATACAAATTTTATTATTGTTCTTTATATTGTGTATAAACGAACAGAACAGCATAATATATCGTGATTTTTATCTCTTCTTTTGTTATTTGATGATTTATTATCTGTGCAGATTTTGTTATTATTAGCTTTCATGTACATAAAAGAGATTTATTTTAATGTATTAAACTACGTGTGCTCTAAAAACGACGTCCAAATGGCACCTGGTCGTTACGAGTAAATAAAATTTTTCAACGGATTCTACAAATTATGGCCGTATTACCGTCAGTACGTGGAAAAAGAAACACTTCCTTATTCATTCACTATTATTTTTCAGTGGGAAATCGCCCATATGCCAAGGAAATGATCTTTCTATGCGCCGAATTATATTGAATTCCGTAAAGCGATTTGTGCCAGATTGAGTAATAAATATCCAAACATTTTCATTTTCTCATAATTTGTAAGTACATATTTATTTCAATATATTTGATGAAATATATATGCTTGAATGCATACCTACCCATATAAAAATCTACCACTTAATTTTTCTGCTATTTGTTAAAAAGTTACAGGAAAGTGCCGCTCTGACATTGACATGTTGAGTGTAGCCAGTACAAGGTAGTAATTACAATAATTAAAAGAAAAATCACTATCCCGACAGGCCATAATTAGCGTGCATAGGGTATAAATATTAAATTAGAACTGGCAACACTTCGTCAGTTATCGCATGTCATTATGCCTTTTGTTTGCAAAAAATAATAATGGAGCTTTACTAATAATAGAACTTTATTTTTTTGATTAATCAAGATAAAAAGTCTCTCATAAAAGTAATAACTTTATATTAAATAACTGTACATTATGTAATATAATATAATACACCTATCTACAAAATAAATAAAAATGTTAAGAAAGAGAAAACAGATACATTTCTGTAACCTCATATCTGTACATGATAACGAAATAAAATAATCAGCCTAATCGTGGCTTTGAATAAAACATTAACCAGATTAAACAACATAAAACCTCGTTTAACGACCAGGAAATACATAAATGTGTTGTATTGCCATAAGTAAAAAAAAGCGAGAAAACGATGGAATTACGATGCGCATAAGAATCAGCCGGCGGCGCCGCCCATTGGCTAGATACAACGTGGAAAAAACACGTGAATTTTTTTCTAAACCACGTATATTTACGTTTCGTTCGGAGCAGCGAAGTGATTGGCCGCTGGCGGCCGAGCTGGCGACCATTGGACGAATTTTTTTTCCCACTTTTCACGTACACGGGCAGTCGATTTTTTCCGTGGAAACTCGGGCCAATGGTGTTACGTAGTTTTTAATTATAAAAGTTGTTCTAGCATGTTACGCTGCTAATTTCGAATCGGAACTATTCCTCTACGCGAATCCGTTTCATAACGCTCGGCTGGTTTTAAATTTGGAATTCTGTTGTCGTATTTCGTAATATTATGTATGTATCTTTACGGATTTGTTTTTTCCTTTTTTATTTACAGAAGTTAAAATAAATGACTATGTGCTTTTGAATAGATATAATTTAAACTTACATAATATTATTGAGGATCATGTTTAATGTAACATTCATATGTAATTTAAATGTATAAGCTGTTTTTAAACCAAAGTAGGAAAATATAAAGTTATTTACATAAATTTAAATACTTTCAGTTGTTCTATTTTAAAAAAAGTTAATTATTTTTCCAGTGGTATATATTTGTATTCAAATAACTATTAATTATTGCACAAATTATATTTTTATTAGTTTTAAAATATAAATAATGTAGCAATTGTAAATGTAGCTATTGCTGTATTCAGACTGGTCGTCAGGCTAGGTATAGCATCGAAGAAACGGATCCAGCTTCTGCACTATATTGTGGGGATATGATATTTTTATTTTTTAGCGTTGTAAATATTTTATAACATTATGTAAATAAAAACAAAATAACTGAACATCAATGGACGAAGAGGAACAGTTAAATTTAAAAAAAAAATACACCTAATATTAAAATCAACAAAATTTTGGTTAATATTTGGTAAGATATTTTTTGTAATTCAGTTAATTACTTAAATTACTGGCTGAATGCACGAAAAAAAACTCCAGAACAAACCTGTATGCAGTCTCGTGTGTTGCTGCACATGGCTCAGTTGCTTGAATCGCCTGTCGCAGTAAGAGCACTTGTAGGGCTTCTCGCCTGTATGCACTCGTATATGCTGCACCAGTTGATGATTCGAGCTGAACGATTTGAGGCACTGCTGGCACTGGTGTGGCTTCACTTCACCGCCCAGACCCCTTTGGAGCTCGCGGGCGTGCATTTGCATTGCGTTCTTGTGCATGAAGATCTGGAACAACGGAGAATGATTTGATGCCAGTGTGGCTGAAGTGAGAGGAGCGAATGAACGCTTACTGAGCGAGATTTATACTTCTAACATTAATTTTTTTTTAATTAAAATATGTTTTTCAATTATTTTTTATTTTAATTATAATTACATTTTCATGATATTTAGAAGCTAGAACTGCTTTAATGCATGAATTACGATTATACCAATATCTTCTAACTGTAGAATTGTGAGATACCTTGTACTCTTATACATAAGTAGCATTTGTTCAACAGTAGGCGATATATGTAATGAAATATTATTATTGCTCACGTGTTAAAAGTTTACACTAGATAGAATTCTCTCTTAATTTTGGAGGTTCTGCAATAATCGCCCGCTTTGCACCTTAACAATCGCAGTATCAACGCTTAAATATCAAACATTTAGACGCTGTAAACCGCCCTTGATTAGGAACAGGATAACATATACAACTATCTATGTAACCACGAGAATTATCTGGCGCTTCCCTAAAGGTGCGGTCTCACCAGTTTCCAGCTGACTCCATTATCTGTGCAACCGCAAACTGCGAACTAAGGGAAGCATTCGGCCGCAAGCTATACGCCAGACGAGACCGCATCCTTAGTCAACATTTTTGACACCAGGCGACGGTATAACGGGTTTTTCTATGCTCTCCTAGTCGATTTCTACCATGACACTAATTTCTTAATACTATCGGAAGTTATTCGCAGAAGATATCATGGTGCCATATAAAAACGTGCAAAACTTGCGACGTAGAATATCCAGACCGTCAGTAGCAGTATTAAAGGTGTGATGGATAAGGAAAATACGGAAACAACGAAAGAGGAACATAGCAGTACTATTGTCTGGAGGTAGAAATGGGAAAAAGGTTGGCACATACACATACTCAATAACAGAAAAGATGTCCTACCTCTAAAAAAAACTATGCATAATTTCTTGTGATTACGCAAACTCTACACACTTTAGGGAATTATATAAATACTAATTCTTATATATATATTTCCGACGTTTTGAGTGCTATACAGCTCTAGTAATTAAAAGCTTGGGATGGCCGGGATTAAATATGATATCAGGACGTTCAACACCTTACTCCCCCAAACAGGCCATGGGTGCTGGAAATCATTCAAATCTTCGGAAATATAATATAAACATATGACCGACATGGTAAAATCAAAAAACAGTTCAATTTAACTTGTTAACTTTAAACTAAATAATATAAAAATTGCCAAATTCTATTCATTCTTCAATCTTAATACTTTAAGTGAATAATTCTTGTTAAATAATATAATAATATGTAAATAGATTGGACACCACTCTATTAATTGGAATGCAATTTTGTATTTCTATAACGTTTCAATTTCCAAGTATCTACATAGAGCCAAGTATATCATTGCTGAGAATTATATATATTTTACTTCATTAAATGTCCATTGTAGCTTGATCGGTCAGGTCTGTCAACACTAATATTAAAATTGTATAATTAAGTTTTCCGCAATTAATATCAGTTAGCATGAAACCTAGTAGAAATTATCATCTTAATTTAGCTCCTTACTCCTTACACACCTTACATTGAGATAAAAGAATTCAGTTTCTATCCCTCTCCAAACTTTAACTCTAGATCCACGCCTGATATCGTAGGATGTCGTACCTAGAGTATATTATTCCCGGAAAATTATATTGCCTCAAATAGATCGCAGAGCATACCTGCACGACGACCATCCCATATCGTCCCGTCGGTGTGGTAAGAGGCGACAAAGGGAACAGGAGAGGGGCAGCAGCGTCTTCCTAATAAGAACTAGAAAATAAATAAATGCGGTTGCCAACCTTAATATTGCCTAGCGTGGCAACTATGGCAAAATCCCCCCAATATGAGAAAATCTATGGGGAGGCCTATCTTCAGCTGTGGAATTTAATAGGCTGTAATGGATGGATGTATAGAAGACAATCTATCAGGAGCACATGACCCACTGATAAGTGAAATTTTCAAATCAACAGTAACATTACAACTATGGCAAATATCACCCATATGAGGCAATATATGGGGGAGGCCTTTGTTCAGTATTAATTATGGTGATAATGATGTATACCTATAGCGATATGTAAAATACTCTAACTGGCGATTTTTCTAAAAAAGTAAAGTAAAGTAAACAGAAACAGAAACTTTTTTTTTAAATAATACTTATTGAAAGTCACGCTTTTGTTTAACTACCACTAGTTCGAAAAAAAAACCTCAGAGCTGGAAAGAACCAGTAAGAAACCCAGCAGGACTTTTTTTAAAAATAACAGTCTACAATCATGTAACACAATTAACAACACAAAACAAACTAGAAATAGCTTGGTAGCGATCATCTCATTCCCAGGGGTTATTATCATCCATAATTTCCTAATATATAATAATATAAAATAGTATAATAACCCTTTTATACAAACTTAGTTTAATAGTTTTTGAACTTTGAGCAGGTCAAATTTTATATATTTAACTAAGACCTATACATATCCCACGGCTGGGCACAGGCCTTCCCGCATTCTTGAAAGGGTTTTAGGGTTAGGAAATGACTGTTGCGCTGTGTGCGCGTTTGGCGGACTACACATGTCTTGGAAATATTTTTTAATTTCTCAGACATATAGGTTTCCTTACTGTTTTTCTTCACCGTCGAGCACGTGGTAAATCAACACTTAAAACTGCAACAATAATTAACAACTTTATTAGAGCTGGCGGGAATTGAATCCAAGTTAGCTCGCGTATAGTTTACGCTCTAAGCTACCACTACTCTTCTGAGAATGATTTTTTATACTGTTGTAGTCCAATTTGTTGACCCTTTTAAGTCAACTAAGGACTATTAAACTTATTACTTCACAATTTTCCTCTATAAGGGGCGAAATTTTTTCTCCAAATTCATATGGGACAACTCCTGATGTATAATCTATACAAATAAATAAAATTGAAGTGTCTGTTTGTAATGTCAAAATAACAGCTTTTACTAAATGCATATGAAAGTAAATACGGTACTTATAACTAAAATACAATTTTTAAAATTTTTGTCTGTCTGTCTGTTTGTTCCAGCTAATCTCCGAAACGGCTGAACCAATTTCGACGGGACTTTCACTGGTAGATAGCTGATTTCATAGGGAGTAACTTAGGCTACTATTATTTTAGAAAAAGAATTAAGGTTCCGCGCAAAAACATAAAATCCTTAATACAAGGGCGAAGCCGCGGGCAACAGCTAGTCTATTAATAGAAAGGACGAAGATATCGAGTAGAATACACACAAAATAGCTAAGAACACACTTGGATTGAGATCCTCCTCCATTTTAAAGTCGATAAAAAGTACATAATCCCATCCAATCAAACGCAAGTCATATGTCATAGATTTCAGTATGCAAGATTTTTTCACACCACAGCACCAAAGCGCGATATCTCCAGTCGCACGGTGGTTTAGGTACGTGTGTAATTCACATTATATGTAGTATGATGGTGTTAAGTTTCACGCCGGGCGCCTTATAATTTCGCCATGGCAAAGAAATTGCTTTCCAACCGTAAGTCAGATAAGGCGGAATTATAGGGACTTAATATTATTTATCGTGGCACTTAAGGCCGATTCGTATGTTATATATTCGATATGCGGTCTAAGTGAGCTGTATGGGCGTGAGCTATTGGGGTTTTTAGAAGTTCTGTTACGGTAAACTAAAAGATTACCGTGGTAGCTCAGGGGCTACGCGCGGGCACTAATTTCTACAGTACGTAAGCAACCCGGGTTCGATTCCGCCGGCAACAATAAAATTGTTTATTGTAGTTTTAAGGTTTTAATAAGTATTCATTTACTACGTGCTTAGCGGTAAAGGAAAACATCGTGAGGAAACCTGTATGTATATCTGAGGAATAGAAATATTTTAAAGATATGTGAAATCAGCCAACACTAACTAGAGTAGCGCAGTGAACTAATTGTTCCATAACTCCCTCATTGAGAGGAGGCCTGTTCCCAGCAGTGACATGTATATAGACTGTAACTTTCTACTACATATATTTTTGCTCCGCTAGGCTTTTGCACCAAAGGCCAGTGGGGTAGTAGCTGAAAAAGTCATCGTCATCATCTTCATCATGGGCTTTAATGATGATGACACAAATAATCTGCTAAACATAGGCTCCGCTAAGAAATTGTGTCGCATAGACATCTACATCTATCCTTAATTAAGAATTAATATGCAGATGCTTTGACACCCCTTGGGACTAAAATAGAATGCCTCGTTTCCAGTAAAAAGGGTCTCCGGTTATCTACACTCACTATACGCAATACAGCAGCATTAAGCTGCTATTTTACGATGGTATTCTGTGAGAGTGTGGACCTTACCTGGTAGAGCCGACCCATTCGTGCGACAACCATAATATAGCTGCAGCATGGATTTACCACGTATCTACTTGGGATACTAATAGTTGTTACGCATTTGTGTTAACAGCTCTTAACCTATCCTTATAAAAACATTTGAGGTAATATTTCTTTATGGAATGTACTCGTAAATATTTCGAAATATGAACAAATATCACTTTCAACTGTAACCGATTCACTAAAATCGATTATCTTAATAGTCATTACAACCCTATTCTATGTTAACATTGCTTTTAATAAGCAACATAAATTCCTTTACATGTAGTTTTATAGTGCTTGTCATTTACGTATAATTTAATCTTAGTGCAATCTTAACTCCGCACAGTTTATATACGCCGGTATATTTATTGAAAACCCTTCGTTCTTTGCGATTGCAAAGAAACTGCCTTGGACACGCAACCGTACAATGTGGGCCAAGAAATCCATACACAATAAATATGCAACAATCATGAGTTATCGTTACGTGAAATTATTTGACTGTGGAATATAATATTTCAAAAATAATGTTTGTTACAATGTATGATACAATCATAGCATTTTAATTATATTTGACTGAAAAAAATTTAGGAAGACTGTAGATTTATCCTCAACGATACGCGC